CTTCAGATCACAAAGGGGAGAAGGGGCTGATCTTAAAATCTTTACAAACAGACAGGCAGATTATCACTGCTGGACAAACCCTATATCAGATCCAAAAAAACCTGTGAGTTTCTTGTATGCAGGGTCTGAATTTTACTCACATTTTATTGCAGTTCGGTTCTGACTCATGATGAGGACTCTTTGACTAAAAAAAATAAAAATAAAAGAGCCAGGTGTGTGTTTGTGAGACTAATAATGGTGATTACTATAAATCAAGGGTCAGTAAACTTTTCTTGTAAAGAGCCAGAGAGTAAGTATTTTAGGCTTTGGGGCCATCTGGTCTCTGTCACTCTGCCATTGTAGCACAAAAGCAGCCAGAACAACTCATAAACACATGAGTGTGGCTGAGCTCCTGTAACACAGTATTTATAAAAACACGTGACTAGATTTGATCCATGGGTCATAGTTTGCTGATCCCTGCAGTAAGTAGTGACATAATTTTGCTCATTTAAAAGAAAAACCTCACTTCGTTTTTTTTAATTTAATTTTAGATATTCACACTACAAAGGAGCATCCGGGAAAAGGTAGGTTTGGAACAGGAGAGAACACGTTGCTTTTTCTTAGAAATAATAAGATCGAAAGCATTCATATGAAAGTGTCTATACGGTGCCATTGATTCTGTTGTCATTGAAAATGTTCTTTTTTCTGCTTCTTCTTCTTTCAGGACCAAATCACAGTGTGGTTCCTCTTGCAGTAGCACTGATCCTGATAATAATGCTGGCTATTTTCACACTTTCTTTCTATATATACAAGCAAAATAGTGGCTTCTGCAGGAGACTTGCAGGGTTTCAGAGCCCTTACTATCCTACAACCAACTTTAGTACAGTACATTTGGAAGAAAACATTCTCATTTCTGATCTTGAGAAGAATGACCAGTAATCATGAAGTCAGAGAATGCTACAGCCAGGAGGATGAGTAAAGAAGATGAAGCATGGCTTCTACTTCCCGTTGTAGACCAGATGCCGTTAGAATGTGAATTGGGTCCCTATCTGAATTATTCTTGATGTGATTAAGAGTTTTTAATTGTAACCAAATTAGATAGGTTTTGATTTAGTCATTTCCCTAAATTGTGATCCATTCTTTAAAAGGGGATATTATGCAGTGGTTCTTATTCAGAAAGACAAGAACTATTAAAAGAAATTCCCTACTGAAAACTCTTAAACCAATATGAACAATAGTTTTTGCTAAAATTTTTTGGAAATTTTAAAGCTAATCTGTTACCTATGCAAACATTTACTGACCCTCCACTGAGAGAAAAGAAAAGCAAAAAAAAATTGTTTTTAAATCCAAAACTCATATTTATAGGAGAGGAATAGGAAAGTCTTCTGAAATGTTTCTTGTTTGCTTAATTCCATTTTTAATAGCAAGATTTGGAAAATACTACTTTCTAAGGTTAAGGGTCTGAGGCTCTGGGCTCTACACCAATATTTAGGATGATATTTGCTTTTATTAGGTCTGAGTTACCAAGCTAAAGGAGAAGAGATGGCTTTCTTTGAATACTAATGACCTTGGTTAGCGACACGCTTTCATAAGCAACCACCCAGTTTTGATGATGGGCCATTAAACCTCCAATCACTACATGGTGACTAAGTTTGATATTTTAAAATGTTTTACAGGTAATCTTAAAGGAATATTTTGAGATTTGAATCCTGTTAAACTCATGGACTTTATGAAAAACTAAAGATACTAATATATGACACGCAATCAGAAGATATAAAATATAACTTTAATTTAAAGGGGAAAAATTGAAGATCTGAATTATAACTAGAGGATATGTTGAGAAGTACCCAATGAATTACATTTCAGTAGTAATATAGATACTTTTATTACAGTATAAATGAGTTTATTTTAGGTATTTTATTTAATACACCCTGATTTCTGGGAACCATCTTCCTTTACAGCATATTGCACTAGTTAGTCCAGTTGGGAAACCATAGTTGAACGTATAACACTGTCTGTAAATTTTTAAAAATCACCTTCAGGAATTGTTTTTGAAGAAATTAGAAGGAGGTGTGATTTTCCTTCATTAATTTCTTTGAAAGAAAAATGACTCCATAATCAATATTTAAAAGTTTACTCATGACATAGATGTTTATTGAGTTCCAATTAAGAACCAAGTGCTATTCTAGAAAGGGGGGTACTAGAGTGAGCAAGTCCATGGAGTCTCTTGTTTTCCCATCAGAAAAACTGACAGTAACCAGGAAAGAAGTACCTAAGTAGGAAATAGCAGGTGGATATTAAACTTTAAGTAAGGTCCTGTGATAGAAGAAACTCGAAGCTTTACTGAGTGTATGATTTAATTATTACAACCAAATGCCTCAAAACTGGTGGCTGCTAGTCCCAAGGAGGAGCTCCGAGAGAAAGTATGAATGAATTTCTCAGTGGCAGACCATCGTCATTATAAATACAGTTTGAAGAGCAAGCCCCACCAATGGAGCCCTGGTGCCCTGAAGGAATTCATAAAGCTTCCAAATGCTGCACTTTACTGCTGCTCCGTTGTTTACATTCTGGAACAATCTACCTTCATTATTTGTTTAAGTTTTGACGCTTCATTTTATTTAAAAGATACTATATTAGGTGGCAGTTGTATATTTCTGACTCAAAAGAATAATTGACCCAAACTAACTAGATGGTACAAAAGCCCAATTTAACAATCTGTCAAGTAAAATTAAAGTTCTATTCCTTTCAGCGGAGTTGGTAAAAACTGCTAATCAATTAGTCTTCCTGTCAAGGTATACAGTTACACAGAACAATTTGACAAAATATGCGATTAGAAAAGTGGTTTTGCTCAACGACATTGTATTGTGGGTCAGTGTTCTATAGTTTGACATTGAGTATTAAACCACGTCTCCAGAGACTCTGTCCCCAGGGACAGGTCATGTGCTCCCTGCCATTACTGAAATTGCAGAAGTAGAAAGTTCTGAAGAATTCTGCTATATTCATCATACACATGCACTTTAAAAATGTTTTCCACCTCATCTATTTTTAATCTGAACTAGATTTTATAGCTAGAATATGAGAAGAAAAAAGTAGCAGGATCACAGACTCACACAGAATCAGCCCAGCCCCCCCCCCAAATCGATTACTTTCTGTGACTAACCTGAACATCTTTTTAGACTCCAGGTAATGGAAAATCTTGGATTTTTCCAATTAACTGTATCTTGGACTCTTCCAATTACAACAGTCTTCTCATTAAAAGTTCTCCTTCCTGTCAAAACTAGGGAAAAACTGAATATTTAAATAAAAAATAAGTCTTCTGGAGTTTCTTTACCTTCCTCAAAAGGGCAGTTGGATATATGAGAACTTGCTGTGTCCTTTGGGTATTGAGGGGACAAGATGTTAACTGACCAGGCACATATGCTGTCTACTGTCCACTGAGAATGTTGTCTGGTCCACTCCTGGGAATTCTGCCAGCATCTGCTGTGAAGTCTGTAGTTGGTATAACGTGTGGTGTGTCCTCATTGATCCCAGATCTCCCTGGCATGGCCTTATCTCTGGAGAACTGGCTGTGACTCCTGTTCGATTTCTGACCTGGACACTGCAGTTCTTGATTCCAAGGCCATTTCTCCCCTGTGGTGGTAAGACCCTATCCAGCACCAAGAGCTACTCTATTAGGTGGGCGAGGCTAAATGCAGACAGAACAATCCCCAAATCTCGGTGGCTTAACACAGCAGAGGTTGATTCCCCACCCACACCTGAATAAGCTGGCAAGAGGCCTCTGCTCTCTCCAGTCATTCATGAGTCCTGGTTTCTCACACACGGTCAGGCCCATCTGGTCCTCCAGTGGGTCTACCTGTGGCCAGCAGAGGAATTAACTCCAGTTCTCTTTTTGATTAGTTATGTAGCCTTCACAGGCTATTGAAATACATTCTCTAAGTAAACAGTTTTGAATTAGGGACATACACCCTGAGAGTGCATGAAGATTTCCAAGAAACTCAGGGGCATGGATATTTCTAAGGATCTCAATTTCCAGAATTTTTGAACTTCATGTGTAATTTTCCATAGAACTGACTTTCCTGAGAGCACCCTTGTGGCCAAGATACCATGCAAGTTCTTCTTCTTCATCTTTTTTTTGCATAAATGCCTTTGTTCACCCCTTTTAGGGAAAAAAAAAAGCAAGGAGGATGGCTTTTACTCCAGATCTTTCTGTGCTACTTTCCCTTGGGAAAATTCTTCATGGCACCATGAATAAAGAAAAAAGTTTAAAACATTGATGTCAGCAAAACTTCTTTTAATAAAGGAATCATAAACTCTCATGAGCCTCATGTCTTTCCCCATGTTCATATGTTTTTCTGTTAAGGATGAAATGAGGAGGTAGAAATGAGTTACTTTGCCCCACGATCAAATTCTGAATTGGTGTGTATTATGCAGTGAAACAAAAACTCTGCTGACTACTGTTGTTTGAAACCTTACCTCATCCATCCCTTCACCATTGTCAAAGAACGTTATTTCTACAGAGAAAATAGCTAAGAACCTGGCGACCTGGATTATCCAAGCCTACGACAAGGCTCTGTGCTTTATCTATCTTCGATTTCTAAATGAGTTGTAAGGATGAGTATTAACAAGCTTATTTGAAATGAAAAATGAAATCAGGCTTTTTCTGAACATTGTCTTATTTGGCTCATTGGTTTGACAAGGAGGATTGACTTTACCAATTAAGTTTATGATGAACATTTTGTATTAATTGGATAAACTAAATCTATAATTCTAGTGTTCTGATTAAAACATGTAATAAGATAATGGCATTTTAATAGAAAAACAGTACTGACAGAAATAAAATGAAAGAATATTGTCTTTTTCCCAACCCTACCTTGTGTATCAAGTAAAACAAGGTGCATAAGTGAAGAGTATAATAGGCAAAATGAATGAATGGTCATCAGAAAAGTCTTAGCAAAGCTTTTTAATTTTAATACTAGGAAATTGACAATATGCATCACTCTAATGACTAGGTAACAGACCCTTTGTAGCTGGTGCCTCCAGTTCTTTGCTTTAAGCAAAATGGAAGGAGGCTATAACCAAGTACTATGTTGACATATGATGGAAAATAATTTTTAATGTAACACCACTGTGATTTGGGGCACCTATGAGAAAAGAATTCAAATAAAGAAGTAAATACTGCTACAACAAACCTCTTTCTATTCCCATCTATCTAGTCATACACACAAGGTTTCTATAGTAGTTGAGATAGGATAGAAAGTTCGTTTCTTGATCATGTAAAGCCTGCGGTGGCTTCATTGGTTCCCCAGGGCAGCTAACTTCCAGGCAATAACTCACAGATCTAGTCTGCATCCTACTCGGGGACTTCTAGTATTGTTCTAGGGCTTCTAGTATTGTTACGGCAGTGAAGAACTCTTAACTTGGGTTTAGAAAGCAACACATGGCACTTCCATTCATGTTATTGGCCTGAACTAGTCACATGACCTCACCTAACTGCAAGGAAGTCCAGGAGGTCCTCAGAAAGGAGAGGATAACTGACTACAGTGAGTACTAGCAAAATTGTATTCTGACAATCTCTTAGCATGCATAAACATACCTACAAAAAAAGGGGGGAGGAACAGAATTGCTGAATCCTGACTCTTTCTAGCAATTTTTAATTAATATTAATTTTTATTTTTAATTTATTTTTATTTTTACATATATATGTGATAATTAGGTTTCCACTTCTTGCCTTCACAGAATTAAAAAGGCTTAACATTTACCAACAATAACAATGTTTAAGGTAAGGACTAGAAACAAAAACCTCATAAAGAATGAATGAAGATATATACATTCAGAAAAGAAATCAGACAAATGCTACAATGAAGTATTAAGCAATAATAATAATAGTAATGCGAAGAAAGTAATATTCACACTGTTGAACAAGAGTATGACTGCCAGAGAACACTTTGACACGAAGGTTCAGTACAGAGTCATCAATCAACTTCTTATTATTTCTTTTCCAAAGTCTCAAAAAATAGACAACTAATATTTATAAATAAAAATAAAGGATAATTTCAAAAAAACAGATCCTGCCAAATCTTATAGACAATAGAAAAAGAGGAAATACTTCAAAATCATTCTGCTTAATCTGGATACACCTGATATTAAAATTGGAAAAAAATATATTATTATAAAGGGGAAATTACAAACATAATTCACTTTTAAATGAGGATGCAGTATCCTCATTTGCTCTGATGATTTCTTAGCATGCATAAATATACCTACAAAAAAGGGCAGAGGAATAGAATTGCTGAATCCTGACTCTTTCTAGCAATTTTTAATTAATATTAATTAATTTTCCTATACTATATCTATTTGAGTAGGAGATGCATTTCCTATAAAACTGTAGTTTGATATATACCAATTTAATCTTTTGATATGCTTAATATGATCTTTGTAGTACATTTATCTTGTTCTGATCGATTGTACACATATGTATGTAATATAAAATAACTCAATATAGAAGAAAATCTGTAACACTTAGCGCCTATGCTCATGGGGACCTTTAAAAAATAATTTTAATGTGCATATATACATATTTACTGCAGGAAAACATGACAAGACAGTAAATAAAATACTTCAAGAATAATGTATTATGTTAGGATAAAATTTGGGGGGGAGGATTGGAATGTAAATAGGAGATTGAAGAGAAAAAGAAACACTGTTAAAGAGCTTATTTGGGTTTATTTCTATTTTTAAATAGATTAGGTCAGAAGTCAGATTGTTATAGTATCTCCAGTCAAAAGAATTAGGGCTCTTTGAGAAGAAATTGATTCTAGGTCTGGGCAGAAGCAACAGAAGATGAAACTGGAATATTTGGGAGGCCAGAAAATAAGGAGGTGCTCACAAATAAACACAGAAGGAACGAGAGAAACAAAGTCACCACGAGACAGACACAAAAGGGAAAATGGCTGCTGGCAAGATTTGCCAGTGGGTGCTAAAATTAGTGGGTGAATGTTTGCAGAAAAGCAGGATATTTGCATAACCTTAAAGTGTCTCCTA